TATTTTTGATCAAATAAATGCAGCCTTGGTGAGAATAAGATACTTTTTTTTCAAATACATAAAAGAAATCGCAATCATTCCAAACTTTTACTGGTAGTGAACATTAAATTCGTTGTATCCAAATAAAGGACCTAAATAGTTTTTTTACAGAAAACGTAAATGTCACACCCGTATGATACTCAATCATATCACGGACACTATTTGTTAAAATTGTACTGGACATATACCATGGCAGGGCTCGACATTAAGCCTTGACATGTGCTCGTCATTCACTTGTCCGAGTAAAAAAGTTTCTTGTCCGAGGGAAATTTTTTTTTTTAATAAATTTTTTTTTGGTGTAAATGTAATTTATTCTGAAGCAATAGTCTCTTCAGTGTTTGTATCCAAATAAAGGACCTAAATAGTTTTTTTATTTTTTGGTGTAAATGTAATTTATTCTGAAGCAATAGTCTCTTCAGTGCTTAGTGAAGTGTCCATCGAATGCACACTTCAGAATCTGTTTTTTGAATACTATTAATTCAGACATAGGCCTACTACTCGCCTCACATACGGTGTTTTGCCAACTATATAGTAGGGAAGTACGCGATTTCGGACGCAACGATAGTATTCGAAAAACTGTAGGCGAAAAGTACCCGTATGACCTACTTCTTCCACCTGGATTCTGAAGTGTGTATTCGATGGACACTTTAATTACTATCCCACTTTACTATTTCTTTTTTTTAATTGGATGTTTGGAGCTATTTTTAATTATTTATTTATTTTATTTAGTTCCATCGCATACAAGTACAAGGCAAATATAAGGCAATGTTGTACAGTTTAAAGCATGTAAAACAGAATAACAACAAAAAAACATAAAATGAACATAAACATTAAAAAAATAAAATAAAAAAAAGTGCTATATAATATTAGGGCAGTTACATAAATTTGAAAAGCTTTAGAATTTTTATTGTTTTTATAAGCTTCTTATTTTGTGATCTCAAGGGTTTTAAAATATATTTTAAGGTCAGTGTTACAAAAGGTAATATATGATGGTTTCTTTTGAATTACGAATATAAAACTTTGCTAAAATAATTAACAGATTAATAATGTAATTTTGTTTTTCAGAAAAATATGGGTTTTGAAAAAGTTAAATATCATGAGACTCTAAATTAAGGGCTTTGTTTAATTTTTTTGTTATGTCTATTTTGAAGTCAACCCAAAATGAAACCGAAAAAGGGCAATAGAAAAATAAATGTTCAATATCTTCAGCTGATATATTACAAAAGGTACATTTATCACAAACACTATGAGTGCATCTGCATTTACAGGATAACATCTGTGAATAATTTATTAGAAATTACACGTATATGGTAATAACCAAATATACCATGTCAAGATATACAGAGGTTTAAGCCATTTTTATTTACACGGATAATTAATCGACATCTGAGAACCTAGAACATGTTGCTAAATTATTCAAATAATAACCTGAGATTCGGCTGACAGAACAATTTGTGAATCTCTGGCTCTCTTTTGTTTTCTTTCTATGTTAACTGCAGCCTTATATTATGCTAATACTAACTTTAATAACTTTTAAAAGTCGTTAGAGTACAATCGGTCTCAGCGTCACGTGCGCCGAAAAACTGAGGTAAAACCTTTCGACGTGCATTTACTCCTTCAAATATTCGATTAACGTTATCTCTTTATACTTGGACAGAGAGATGGAGACAGTAGCTCGATTATAACTGCGAATGTAAAGGTTTTTTACCGATAATAATCTGTCTTGAAGTAAAATCGCCTTACCTCAGAAAAGCCCGCCCTTTCTGTCGCTGTGCGGCGCGCGCGTTCGCTGCTGGAGTCGAGTGCGTGATTGGACGAGCGCTGTCACCTGACGTTATCACGCAAGATTAACATTGAGTAAAGAAACAAATACGTATTGTGTCGACAAATTTAAATTTTTTTGAAGGTGAAAAAAGGAAAAAGTATTCGGTTCACTCAAAGTAAAATTAACAAAATTATTAAATAAAAAAAACCCCCATACATTCACTTTTATTAATATTTTGAATAATATATTATGTTTCAGTAATTTTGTTTTTGTCATTATTATTCATTTTTTATATTACACTGCTTAAACACTTTGAGTAGCAAAACGTAGAAAATAACTAACCTAAAATTTAAATAATTTTTATTATGATCAACAAAAACCTAAGCTAGAATTTTTTTTGTATTGTTGACATTTTTTCATGAATATTAAGCACGTTCCCCCAAAGTTCCCATTCCATTCATGAGTGTTTCGTGAGAAATTACAGACAAATTAAAAGTAATTAAAAATTCATCACCCATTTTCAGTCCCAATTATGAGGAGCTTCTATAAAATGAATTATTATCGATGCATTTCAGATTCAGCACTCACACGCTCGAGTAAATGAAAATCTAAAGCATCCAATCAAACTAAAAATAACTTTAAAGACTTCAATGAATGAGAAAAGCCTTCAAAAACTACTTTAGTGCTAAAATTTCATTGTCAAAGCTAATATACGCTCACTCTTCAACACGCATGCATAACACAGAATACAATCAACACGTTCATGTAAGATGAAAATATAAAACACGTTTTCTTTATTTCATGTATATAGACATATACCACTTGAGATTTGGAGAAAAGCACATATGAAGGCTATTTTATGATGGATCTCATCAGACAGCTGAATGCAGAGACAGAAAAGTTCTATTACAAATAGTAAAAAAACAAAACAAAACATTAGAAATTAAATCCTAAACTTTCTAACGCAGTTACGGAAGTCTGTCTGCAAGTGGCTAATAACTGTTTTCATCTGTACACGAGAAAATTTGTACAAAATAAGAGATCTACCATTCAATAATAGATGGATCATAATATGTACAATATCAGATGAAGCCGTTTAGTAGAGGGATGCATACTAAAGGACACTTTGCAGTTGTATTTTCTTTCATGAAATGAAACTAAACGTGAAGTTCACCACAATGAAAGCTTCCAGCTGGAAACGAACGGCAAGAAAAATGATCTTTCATAGAGTTACGTTTTTAGATTTTAGCACTACAGCCGAAACATAAGAGGAAGGAGTTGAAATTAAAAACCGAAAATGGACAAAGAAAGTTGGGAGAGAGAAAAATAACATCTTTGTCTATTCACCTATTTAAATTTGCACATTCAAATCGGACTGACGAGCTTATACGGGCCGAGAATAAAACCCAATGGAAGTTCAAACAATGGTTCAGAGGGATCCGTCGTCAACCAAACCCAAGAAAACAAACGGAGAAAGTCGTTCAAGTTTATCAGGAAAAGTCGGGCTTCTCCGGGTCCCATCTTGACCGCTTTTGTTACGAGCGAAACCAGCTAAATTTCAGACGAAAAATACTTTTTCCTTTAGCTAAAAAGGCACTCTATGCAAATAAAGGCTTGGTCAGAAAACGCACACGCAACTGGGCAAACAAACCGTTCGGTATAGATCATAGACTGTATAAAAACATGGACGTAGTGTCCGTGACGTCACCCGTAGGGTTCCGAAGAGCGTTTTTGAAGCCTAAAGTAGGCGGAGCCGGCCGTCGCCATCTTGGCAGGCGTGCGTCACTCCCGGATAATCGAAAATGGGCAAAGAGGCGGGAGCTGGTTGCTGAAGCCACGCCCACCTAGCTCGACGGAGATGACAGCAGCGGCAATCCACCTGTCACTCAAGTGGCCACGCCCTTAATTATGTAGAAATGTAAGGCTTAATATAATTTAAACGGATGAGTTCTAAAAAAATTCACCCCCCTCACAGATGTCGTGAAGGGCAAAATTAGCTATATAGACCAAAATCATTTTTTGAACCAGGCTGTAAACACGTTTTTTTCTGCTGTAAAGTTGGGCATTTTAACATGGGGTATCTATGGGATTGACTCCCTTTTGCAGCCAGCCTCTAGCGGCCAGTTGACGAATTGCAGTTTTAGTCACTTCTGTGTTGGCTTCACGAGAGAGAGCGGGAGGTTGCCGCTTGGTATAGATACAGAGCGCATTTAGGCCACGCCCACACAATCCAACGCTCTCCATTGCGGGAAGCTGCCTCCGTGTCATTTCTGACTTATAACAAAAAAACAGAGCAATGCCTAAAAGATGCTATGTGACAAGGTGTACAGTAAACAAAGCGATACGTACGACGTATTCGTAATGAAACTCATTTATAAATCTGCTGTCAACAAAAAGGAAGCATTGAGGTCTTCCTGCGCGTTTCCGCCAAAATAAAAGTTGAGAAAAAGCAAGAACTCTATCAACATTCATAAA